TTCAATGAACTTTCCATTACCCATTTATATGCTCGTACGCGCTCTACAGCTTGTCACAGAGCCCGATCCAGGAGCCCGATGACATCGCTTGAAGTAGATTCACGTCTTTATCCTCACCTGTATTACTCGCAATTATGACGCTCATGAAGCTTTTATTGAATGACTCTTCCATTTCTGGGCTTCTCATCTTTGAGATCGCAATGGAGATCAGGATGGACATGACGCAAGATGAAACAATAGCCGCGGGATTAGCTCCTAGACTGCAGGACAGTTAGACAAATGCATTGATTCACTTAGGCCAAATTACATACTCTGTTTATTACGACAAGTGAGCCAGCAATTGTAGCAACCCGCAAGTCATGATTTGATGGATTTCCGAATTCGTCAGAGTAGGAAGATACTGTTTAATCAAAGCAACGGATTCCCCCTGACCCAAGAAAGGGTTTGCTGTAGCAACAATAGCTTCAACTCCTGACAAGTTCGGGGCCCAGAAGAGGATATAGCCAAATTTTCTCACGGCCCACTGTAGAAGCCCCTATTTCACGAGTGAGTTGTAGACCCTCAAGGACATGAAACGGTTAAGACATACGACGAAATACAGCATCTGAACAAGGGCAATAAAGAGAATAAACGTCGGAAGACTCGTCAAAAGGAACCATGCTAGCCAAATTACCGTCAGCGTGAGTCAACCGATAAACAAGATGTAAAAGCTTACTCATTTGCGATGTTGTAGTGTCTGATAGAAAAGCCACGCCAGCTTGTGCAACGCCCTCTAAGCTACCCGCTATTCCTGCAACGAAAGAAAATAGACTGCCCAACCCCAGTTGGAAGCACGAAGATCGCGATGATGAATTGCATCAAAATTGCAGCTATCACAGTTCCCCAATTTATCGCGCAGCGCTTTCTGCTCATCAACCATAGAGCGACCAAGAAAACCAAATATCCAAATAAGCTGATCGCTCTATTGGAACGAAAATTATGTGCCACTTCCCGTGGAACGATAGTACCGACTAGATCATGAATGCTATTACACTAGCAGCAAAAGGCTTCTGAAAATGCTTGGGGATACGGGATTTCCCGAAAACAGCTGTGTGCTCCCATGAGAAGCGTAGTGGTCTAATGGCAAAGGTTTAGTAGATAAATCGATTTCCATATATGGGTATAGTAGTACAGTCTCAGGGCAGCTTACACCAGAAATATCCGGGCAGGAAACTTTGGAGTCAATAACCGGAAGCTCAAAACAAGATACAGGACAAATGGCTCGATCCAATTCACGTTTTTTCGATGGAAGATGAGGCCAACAATCCACCACCTCGAGAAGATCGTTAGCCTCCTTACGACCCATGACCACATTATCGAATTTGACTTACGCCGTGCAAAGCATTCAGACAAGAAATATGGTGGCAGGCTTGAGGACCTTCTGGTACCTGGCCCACCAGCCTTTTAATCTGGAATGCGAGGTACCCATTTCGACGTCTCAATCTTCAATGGCACGGTGGGCATCTTCAGGCGAAACACCAATTGCGGGCGGTGTCTCCTTTGTGTTTGGACTGTCATCATAAGTGCCATCCCTCGGAGGCTCAGGGGCACAAATGCCATGTTTAGCGTCTTCAGGCCCGTGATTCGCCATTTGGTGAGCGGGACTTGAACAGGATTAACCTTCACAAGTTGGCATCGGGGTCCAAGGCAGCAGACTTTATATGAGAGTCCCGTAAACCCCCTCGCAACGCGTCTATCTTCAAATCTCCCTAGTGGTTAAGGAGTCCGTAGTAATAAAATGGTTTATTTCGTCCCAGTTTGAAGGCGCTACAAATGACATGGTTTGAAACACTGCTTAGGCTTCTTCTGGACTTGAAATGCGTATTGTCATATCACAGGGCGCAGTCTGAACTAGTCATCGAGCACATCACAACGCCTGAGGGGTGCGTGCTTGACCTTGTCATGATGATCAACAGCCAGATAGAAAATCCTACAAGAGCTATAAGATTGACCGCATTGTCTCGCTGGCATTATTACTGCTTGTATTGAGTAGATGTAATTAAGCACTGATCGTACTGCAGTTACGAAGACAATGATCCCGACTAATCGCATTATCATCGATACTGATCCCGGCGTGGACGATGTAATCGCCATTCTTCTAGCTCTTTCCGCAAAGCCGGAAGAGCTGCAAGTGCTTCTATTTTCTGTTGTTCTAGGTAATACATCTATTGAGAAGTATTCACAAT